TTTTTGAAACCAACATATTGGTGCTTTTAATATTGAGAATGATTATGGTTTTTCTAAAGCATGCTTGCTGTAACAGTTACACATGTATTTTAATTTAGCATTATTACTCAAAATACTTCTGGAATTTTCTATCTGGAATTCCTTCATCACTAGCATAGGAGCCACATTAGAAACCTGTTTTATAGCAGTAAAATCAAACAAAGAACATTTTGACCTCGAAAAGTATTTCATAACCTTATTTCTCACATTGTTCATTTACTACATTTGGGTCTAATTAGAAGTGGTAGTTACTTGCATGAGTAAAACTCACTCTTAAAACGCAGTACTCAGCCTCTATAGGAAGTATTAAAAAACAAAAACAAAACCCTACCATGGCCTCTGAATGAATCATGTGTAAATTATGGTATATGTAAAAAAATAGTTTCATTACTTCCTTGTCACACATTCTGTATATTTTATCAAACTGGCTGTGATGAAAATTGATTTTAAATGTCATACAGCAAAATCAAAACAATATACTTGATATTTCTTGATGATGATGATTGTGTTCTTAAATATTACTTTAGAGTAAAACTTGTAGATTACCTAAAGAGGAAATCCAGGCTGAGATGGCTGTCCTTTCCTATGAGATACTAATTCACCCAGTGACGTACTTGAATGAATTTTCTGAGTTTTGTTTTCTGCTTGGAACTATTTTAATTGGCCATAGCCTCCTGAGAGTTAGTGTTCATTCTTAAAAACAATTGGGAGCATACAGGAGTCTTGAGAGTGCCATAAATAGAACAGTACATTTGAAGGACCCTGGAAATGGATAGGGTAGCACCCTGAGCTACTGTAGCAGCCATAAAAATAGCTGAGCCAGTAAGCTGCCATACCTTCTTTTGAACATAAGGTAGAAGTTAAAGGATCTGGGAGACAATTTGCTAGAGTTCTATAAAAACCTTGGCTTATAAGAAAACAACGAAATGGAAAAATGGTAAAGGGAGTGAAATGATCCCATCCCTTGGATTGCAAACTATAGTCCAGTTGGCCAGATTTGGATTTTCAGCTATTGCCCAGCTGGTGAATAGTTCAAAACTATTTTAGGTCATGTGATCCCATTGTAGCCAATTGGGTGGTTTGGCAGGCAACAACAAATGTCTATTCTCACAAATTATATGCATACTGAATTTGTCCATGTGCATTCTCTGCTTGCCTATATTGGTGAAAACACATCCACATGGATGGATAAATTGTGTGTATAAGTTCATACCTGTATATTTATACACAGTAATTACGTACTTTGATTTCTTCTAGGAGAGAGAATGATAGGAATAATCTAGTTAAATCAGTTTCTATGGGGATTTTTTTTTTACTCCTTTTTCATATTTCCTCTGGTTGTAAAAATTACAGTGATTACACATCATAAAGCCTATCTGTAATAAAACGCATCAGCTGGCCAAGGTTTTCATCGCTCACTCAATAATCCATTAATACAGCAACGCTGCCCAGGCATCTTTATAATACCAACTCGGAGGTAATTTTAAACAGCTAGACCAGCTGGTATTTAACAGCAGCTGCTGGAGACGCCACAAATATACTCAATAGCTGACATCTTTATTTGCAGTTTTTCAAGGGGAGAAGAGCTTCTCCTGTGGTTACTTATATTAAGCATTTAAAAGAAGGTGTAAAGTATACAGGGGTTTATACCTAAATGAGAAGGGGAAAGGGATTAATGATAAAACAAAAGTGATAAATTCTATCAGAAGGAGAGGTTTGTAATTGAAGAAACTCCACAAATGGGTAAGAATATGTTGCCTTGGGTGAACTTCAGACCTTTTTTCCAGTTACATTTACACTGATCGTGCATATCGCTAGCAGTAAACATGTAGTTCGCTGTGTAGCATCCTTATATCCTTTTGTATTAGATTTGTAGTATCCCTTACTACATAAGGCTGTGAAAAATACTTGAGTCGGTGAAAGAGTAATGTGCTCATGTGTGTGTATTCTGTCTCAGCCACTACATACTATGTTTTGTTTTATGCAAATATTTTGTTAATGTTCAATTTTGATATTTTAGATGAAAAACCATCAATATGTACTATCTAATAGAAAATGTGGAATGCTATTTTGCATTGTTGTATATGAGCATATGTGGGGGAAACAAGCATAGGCAACATGAAGTTAACAGTCACAAACCCATTATAAATAAAAATTTAATTACACTTGGGGGAGCTTGGCTTACAAAGCACAGAAATCCGTAATGGAGCTTGCTGGTAATAAATGCCTGATCTGTTTGCTAAACTCTACTGTTTCCGTTCCTCTTCTCATCATCTTATATAAAATACTTTGACATCTCCACTGATTAGAAATTATTAAACAGAGCTGACTTTCTGATTTGTAAAATGTGTTTTCTCTTAGGATAAGAATCTTAACCTTTGGCTTAATAAGAAAAACAAAAGAGTAAAGAAGGAAAAGATATAATAAGAAAAGCAAGGTTTTTCAAGATAGTTACTTAGTCCATATTTATAGATGATGGTTTTGCATTCAGATAGCTGTACATTGAAATATAATAGGGATGTAAATGTCTGGTACTTATGCAAATGGTGATTTACAATTTCAGTAGATAATATCTTTTGTCATTTTCCCTAATACAGATTTTTAAATTAAATATAAAAAGTGTATTGTAAAGCAGTAAATTATTAAAAAGTAAACCAGTGGAGTTATGGACCTTATACTCATGCTGTAGAAATATGTTCATTATTTCTGACTCTTGTAGAGCAATCATAACCTTTCTTATGTTAATAGTTTTAGCTGGGAAATGAAACATTACAAACCCATAGAAGAGTAAAATGTGTTATTGTTTAAGTGTACTTCTAAATCAAATTATCACAAGTTAACCGAATTCATTGTAATACCAAGTCTCTTGCAGGTAACTTCATTTATCAGTGCCATAGATTTTCTTTTCCCAGAGCCAAATAATGATCTGTCTGTGTTGGACTATGATTGAATACTTAAAATTAAAATGCAGTGACAGAGTGGATTACTGAGATAGCAATTTCAATTCAAAAATTACTTAGCAAGCATTTCTTTTTTTCTTTTACTATTTGTAGTGAAAACAGTGTGTTTAAGTTTGTTTAGTGTGCTTGACAACAGACAGTTTGATATATTGCTGGGCACAGCAGTAGGTTGGACTTGAGTGGTATTAGCTCTCAGTGTTTTGATTAATGGTAATTGTTTCGATGAAAAGGCATGTTTTACGTACAACTCATAATTCTGGAAAACAGGAGTCAACTTGTGAGATCCATAATTACTATTCTGAGTTAGCGTATAAAAGGGCAAGGAGAACCTGCTGGAGTAGCACGGTAGGGTTTTTTTTTTGTTTTTTTTTTTGCTTTTTGCTTTTTGCTTTGTATTGTAGTTAGAGATGGTTCTTTATGTCAGAATATAAATCATCTGTTATTTATCTTTTGTTCAATATTTGAAGTTGATTTATGACACATTTCTGCATCCCATAATTTAGTTTGAATCCTGTACCAAGGTAAAATTTCACCTGTCTCTACAGTCAACTCTGTAAAAGGAACCCAAAGCAAGTCTAGCGTGGGACAGAGTAAAGAACGTTAAATTAAAATATTAATAATATAGAAAGCAATTAAAAGGTGTATTTTAACACTTTAGAGATTTCTGTTGCCTTTTAAAGTAAAACATTTTACATATCATTAATGTATGCAACCTAGGGAAAAATAAAAGGTAGTTTTTATTCTCAGAAAATAAAAAATGCATTTAAATGCTAAGTTTCTCTCAGCTTAGAAACTGCCAGGAAAAGCTTCTTTTGGGGTGTAGTACTTTGTGGGATAGTGGTAAAAAAATGGATGCTGATGACCACCAGAGTGGGCATGTTAAGCAAGCGGTAACAGTTAATACAACAACAACAACCAAAATTGTACAATTAGCTTCAGCTCCATAAGTGTCTAATGAGCCATTTGTCAGTCTTTTGGTGAAATAATGCCCCAATAATATCTTTTATTCTAATATGTAGGCCTGTGTGCCTACATGAAATAGATGTATGTATACGTAGTTATCCAAAGTGCATAATGCTCTGCATTTAGGTTATTAATCTGTAGGAATTGGCTTTAAATGAGTGTCCTTACATTTAGCATCAACAAAGATTTTTTCTTTTAGATTATCTGGGTTCCTGGGGGTTGGTGCTTCTCTGTATGTCTTAGGTGTTTTTTTTTTTTTTTTTTTTTTTTTTTTTTTTTNTTTTTTTTTTTTTTTTTTTTGACTTATTTCTCTTTAGGTTAGAGGAAATGTTAAATTAAATAATCTGGTTGTTTGAGGTTTTTTGAGAAAAAAAAATTAAATTCAGAAGATGGTAGGAGAAAATGTCCCTACCATATTTAACCAACTTTGTTTTAAGATGAGAAATTTTGTAGGTAGGAGATAATGCTAGGGAATCTTTTTTTTTTTCCTTTCTTTTCTCTTGTTCTTTCCCCCTACTAAAAAAAAGTAGGTAATGTAGTTACATATAATCAGAATATTCCTTTTTTATTATTATACTTTAAGTTCTGGGATGTACATGCGCAGAACGTGCAGGTTGGTCACATAGGATACATGTGCCATGGTGGTTTGCCGCAACCGTCAACTTGTCATCTGCATTAGGTATTTTTCCTAGTGCTGTTCCTCCCTTTGCCGTCCATCCCCCCAACAGGCCCCCGTGTTTGATGTTCCCCTCCCTGTGTCCATATGTTCACATTGTTCAACACCCACTTGTGAGTGAGAACATGTAGTGTTTGGTTTTCTGTTCCTGTGTTAGTTTGCTGAGAATGATGGTTTCCAGCTTCTTCCATGTCCCTGCAAAGGACATGAACTCATCCTTTTTTATGGCTGCATAGTATTCCATGGTGTATATGTGCCACATTTTCTTTATCCATTCTAACATTGATGGGCATTTGGATTGATTCCAAGTCTTTGCTATTGTGAACAGTGCTGCAATAAACATAAGTATGTATATGTCTTTATAGTAGAATGATTTATAATCTTTTGCGTTATTTACCTAGTAATGGGATTGGTGGGTCAAATGCATGAACAGCAACCATGTTTATGAAACCAAGGTTGAAATCAGTATTTGCACTACAAGTCTCCCTACTTTTTTTTAAAGAAGCATAGAAATTTTGACTATTGAGTAAATATTTACCCATGAAATTTTGTGTGATATTTTAAAATAATATTCCTTCCCAATAATAGCAGGATGTTAGATTTATATTAATATTAGAGGTTTGGCCTGAATATTAGAACACATGTCTTGTGTAACATATATAAGCCATCTTCTATGCTTTTTGGGGATTGGGGATTCAGCAATTTGCAAAGCAGGAACTTGCAGTGTTACTACATGATTATATTTGAAAGTGCATGATTCTGTTTCATAGTAGCCTGCATTGAAATGCTGTTTGTCAGGGTGTTTATTCCAAGCAAAATTAAAGTTAATAAATGGTTGTCTAATCCACATCTAAGCCTTTGACATAAAAATATAGTTTAAAAAATTTCCTCATAACAACTGTGTGCCATTGTAGCATCTTTTATTGAAAGGAACTTTATTTAAGTAGCATAAACTTGTTGGATGGGCTTTAATTAAATGATGATTTGTTAATGCAAATGTGTAGCAAATGACTGGTAGTACATCTGTCTCTTCATCCACAGGCCATTACTGAGCAATGTTAGCACATGATTGTAAAAAGAGAAATCATTACATGTAGGTAGTACATATTCAATCCATTCTGACCTTATGTCTCTGGCAAAATAAAAAGTATGTAATGTAAATGATATTTAATCTGAATAACAAAAAAGCAGCTCTTTGACTCTGTGGCTCAAGCTGTTAGGTTAGGTGACTGCTGTTTGGAATTGATGGTTATTGGTGGCCCAGTGGGGAAAGGCTATCACTTTTATTCTTTGTCATTCCTCCCATGCATTTCTCTAACCCGCATTATATTTAAAGTTCTGTTTTCCTTTTTTTCTTTTCTCTTTTTTTTCTTTTCATTTTTTCTATCTTTTGGTGAGTAGTTTGTGGGATAGTGGTAAAAAAAAAAAAATGGGTGCTGATGACCACCAATGTAAGCATGTTAAGCAAGCAGTGACAATTAATACAATAACAACAAAAATTGTACAGTTAGCTTCAGCTCCATAAGTGTCTAATGAGCCATTTGTCAGTCTTTTGGTGAAACAAACTACTCTATCTTAATTCTCCACTCTTGCAGTAAATAAATAAAAGTTATGAGATACCCGGGCACCAATAAAATATAATTTATTTCATAGCATGACAGAACTCTTTACATATCTAAAATGAACATGTTATTTACAAATGACTTGTGATACTCATATAAACCATGGATCTGTATGCTAACTGCTTTCATTATGGAGATATGCATTTTTTTCCTGATTGTTTAATCATTTAAACATATCATTACTCCTAAAGGCATGTGAGTTAAAGTGACTCCTCTTGGTGCGATTAACTCATAAGGCCAAAAAGAACCTCAGAAATGAGCTCTTCTGCAGCTGAAGACATTAAGAATTTACTGGAAAGGACAAAACAATAATTTTCATTTGGGAACTTCTCAGCTCTCTCATGATTATCTTCCTGCCCTCATTTATTTTTAGGATCCCCAACCTCTAAAAAGTTTTTAAGCATCAATCAAACAGAACAATGCTTTAAGCTTCTCGTACTTGTATTTTGTACTAGGTAGAAATTTATAATCATCATACTGATTTAAAATGCATGGGAAATGAAAAGTATCATTCAAATGAAAAACCAGTTATTTAAAAAGTAGTAATTAGTTGTTTTAAACAGAAGAATCATACTCAGAACTGTTTTTTCAGAATAACATATGCCAGTGATTCTCAAGTGTCATCTCAGAACCAGCAGCACCAGCCATCACCTGAGAGCTTGTCAGAAATGGAGACTCTTCAGTCCCACCCATCTACTTAGCCAGAAATTGAGAGAGGGGACGAAGAATCTATGTTTTAACATGCCCTGAAAGTGATTCTAAGGCACAGTGAAGTTTGTGAACCACTGATAGACTAATTGAAGCAAAAACAAAATAATGTAGGACATTTATTCATTCCTCATGTATGTATAGAACCCCAAAGAAAACAGGTAGCTTTCTTTCAGTTTCAGATAGTACACTTAGAATGAAGAGAACAGGTTTCTTTTGGTGCCATCCAGGTGAATCTTTGAGGAAATAGGCAAGTATCTCTGATAGGAATAGGTCATATACTCTACAATGGCTAAAAAAGGATTATTAGAATTTAGTACATTTTGCCTCTAGCCTTTATGATTAACTACAGTGGCCAGTAGATTGACCCCATGAATGAAATTGAGTCTAAAGTGAAAAGTGGCAAGAGAAATCAGAAGAAAAAGACCGGAAGAATCTCATGAGAGGTAAATTAAAGCCAGTGATAATTATAGGCAGTTTTGTTTAAAAGGCATTTCTTAATCCCTTACTACTCAGACTTTAGTGCAAGGACCAGCAACACTGCGTCACCTGCAAAGTTGGTGGAAATGCAGAATCTCAGGTTCTGTATCAGGGTAGCCCATTGACAGTTCACATGTTACCAAGATGCCCGGCAGATTTGTATACACACTAAAAATGGAAAATCACTTGCTTACTATATTAGCAGGCAATGGATTTGCTCAAAGATTGATGCTAATGGCATATATTAAAGCAATGTCATACCTTTACATGAGGAATTCCATGGGGCTGTGATAGTTCCAAGGTGATTTTTAGCAAATACACAATGCTGTTGCAATTACAGGAGAAATTACTTGTCCAATTTAACTTATTTTGGAATAAATTAATTATGGAACTATTATATTTGATGAATGATTTTTAAATTTTACTTGTCTCTTCCTGAGGATTTAAAGTCTGAGATGATATTGTAAGTATGAAAGGGACTCCACCTAAGGGATCACTTTTTATTGTTGTTGTAGACATGGGGTCTTGCCCTGTCACCCAGGCTGGAGTGCAGTGGTGTGATCATAGGTTACTGTAGCCTCCAACTCCTGGACTCAAGGAATCCTATCAGGTTAGCTTTCCAAGTAGCTAGAATTACGGGGATGTGCCTCCACACCTGACTATTTTGTTTTGTTTTGTTTTTTAGAGATGAGGTCTTGCTGTGTTGCCCAGGCTAATCTCAAGCCCTTGGGCTCAAGTGATTCTCTCACCTACGTGTTGGGATTATACACATGATTATATACACTTGTCCCAAGGGATAATTTAAATTTATATCTAAACTCAAAAAATTCTGAGCTCAGACTTTCTTTAATATTTTTAAGTGATAGAAAGTGTAGGGATTTTTATATTTTTACAACTCAGTGCTTCATCTCAGGAAATTAAGAAAGTGAGACATGTTTATTAGGCTTATAATTTTAGGTAACTTGTCAATAATTTTTTATTTAATTTGATCCTGAGAAAAATTGCTATAGTTAATTCTCAATTGTCCATATTGAGAGGAAACAAGAACAGTGACTACTGAAATAAGTGACTGTTTGAGTTATGAGAAGCATTTCAGAAGATTATTTTGAATTAAGACAGACTAAACCAAATTTACATATACATACATATGTGTATATATATATATATATATATAGAGAGAGAGAGAGAGAGAGAGAGTCATTAAACAAGTGGTTTCATGTGCTTGATCTCGCATGCCCTCATAGCATCACTATGAGTTAGAGAAAACAAATACTATTCCTTGAGACATCAAGCAGCTGAGTATCCAATTCATATAGTTGGTACTTGAGGGATCTACGTCTAAAACCTTTATCTTCTGACTCTTGGCCAAGTACCCTCTTGAAAAGCAATCTATGTAAATCAAAGAAAGAAATCTTTAGGTAGTAAAACATACATGTAAAAGTATATAATTTAAATAAAGGCAAATTTTAATTGATGATGAATTACATAGGGTGTCAACTAACATAGTAATTGGCAGGCCATTCTGTAGAACACCATAGAAAGTCCATAGATTCAAGTAGATTATAAAAATTGGTTTATACTAATAGTGAACTGCTGAGACCAGCTCGGTCATAGAGACCCCAACCCAGGTGGCACTGAAGGAATTAAGAAACAGAAACAAAAATAGAGTGCAAAAGTGGGATCAGAGTTGGACTGTCAGGGATCTGACAGCATTTCCCAGCTGACAGCCCAGAGCAGACCTTGACCCACGTATTTATTGTTTGTGAACAAGTGATTATTTTTAATAAGCAAGTGCTCAGTGGTTATAGAATAAAGATAGACTAACCAGGCAGATAGTGCGTGTTCACCACTAAGATAGAAATAAGCTAAAAGACACTCTTTGTGAGTCAGCAATGGGGACAGGGTCAAATATCATGTGTTTTAGCAGCTCATTTAACTAGTGCGTGACCGGTACATACTGCTTGCTTATTCTAGCAGTCTCCTGCCTGGGGATGGCTTGGTGTTCCTTGCCATCCCCTCTTAGCAAACAACATGTACTCCATCACACACACGTCAAGACCTTTTCCCAACAGTGAACAAACAGCTCTAGAACCTGGTCTCCATGCTTAAGTGTGTGTCAGTATTATAAAGGTGACTTCAGATTTGTATAGAATGATAGTATATTCAGTAAATAGTGTTGACATAATCCTTGACATAATATATTATCTATTTGGGACAATAGATAATAAATCTGTTATCTGTACCCCACTCCATTTGCTGAAATTAATTGCATATAATGTAAAAAAGGTAAAAGGAAAACTGCTAAAAAAAAAAAAAACTAGAAAAAATGTAGCTATATATTAATGTATTCTTGGTTATGGCTGGGCCTTTCTATGTATGCTTTCAATGCAAGAAATCTATTAAGGAGATGTTGATGGGTTTTACTGAATAAAAATGTTAAATATATCATGGGAAACCATTAACAATTGAAGGACAAATAAATTAGAAAAAATGTTTACAAGTGTGTGGCAAAGAATTAATATCCTTAATATATTAAAATTGCTTACAAATAAATAGGAAAAAGATTAATAACTGAAAAGAAAAATGGCTAGGTGGTACAGACAGTTTTTGATATGTGTGTATGTACATGCTCATAAGCATTTGAAAAAAATTTGGCTTTGTAATCAAAGCCATGCTAATTAAAGCAAGGGTATGTCATATTTGCTTATTAGATTAGCAAAAGTAAAGCCAAAATAATTCAGGATAACCCATGTTTGGAAGGTTCATAGAAAGGATCAATTTCACAGTTTGTTTCAAAATTCACAGAGATACATATTTTGTTACTTTATTGGGAATTTATGAAAAACAAATAACTAATGATATACAATGATATGCATTAAAGACTTTTTGGCAATAGTATTTATTATACTGAAAAATTCTATAAATTTAAGTGCCTAAAAATAGAGGAATAATTTAATAGGTAATAGTATATACATATAAGGGAAAACTATGCATCCACTTTAAATGACTCTTCGGAGGTTAATATTTGTTGACAAAGACAAAAGATTATAATATGCATGTTATGGTCATATTTTTATTATAAAATTTATATATTATGTGTGCATAAAAATAAAATTAGAAAAGCATAATTCAAAATAATTTCTGGGCAATGAGAATATGGGTATCTTTATTTCTTCCTTTTGCCTATGCTTTTGTTTTCTAGTTTTCCTGAGACATATACAGATTACTTTTGGAACAAAGAAAACTTATTTTAATAAAGTCAGCCTTAACATTAGCTAATATGTCAAAGAGTACATGTGACCAATTTAAGTTGTAGATTAAATATTTAGTTTCCCTTAATTTGGCACCTATTACATGCTGCACTAACTAGAAATACAGCTCTAGGAGTTCGTTTGGTGTATGGAAGAAATTAGCCCTGTAAATAAGAGGCATGTGACTCTGAGAGATTTGTGTAGTAGTGGAGTGGGCATAAGTCAATATAAGAATGGTCAGTCTCAGCAGAGAGTCAGGATTTTATTCTTTCTTTCTTTCTTTCTTT